AAACCCGACCTATTGTTCACCCGACCCGAACGTAACCTGACTAGTTATTAACCTGACCTAAACCAGACCCAAACCTGGTAAGAAGTATGATCCAACGTGACCCAATTCAAGCATGACCCAACCCAAACCCGACCCGAATAGGTTATGGAATTAATTCGAATTGACTCGACCCGATTTGACCCGATTCACTCTTTCCTGACCTAAACCCGACCCGTTTACCCGAATTGACAGCTCTAGTCATATAGGTTACGTACTTTGGTAGCATGCACAATTTACGCGAATTTCTCTGTGTGTTTGGTGTACTGGTGTAGTGGTGTGTACTGTGTACATGATATTTTGTATCAAGTTTCTTTACATTAGTGTCTTATGGCTTGTTTGGTTGCACAAAGAATATGGGGTAAGTGAAAAATCATGGAAAATTCGAAATTGGATGAGTTGTTTGGTTGACAATAAAAAGTGTGAACGTGAAATTACAAATTCATGGGAATTATGAATTCACACAAAACATGGAAAGTTAATTACCTAATTAACCTCCCTAGGTAAGTCAAAGTTCCCATGATTTGTAACTTTCTTCGGTCTAATCAAACAAATTTAGACAATTCCTAAAAATTAAATGTAGATATTTAATTCCCATGAAATACAAAATTCCCATACCAAGCAAACAACGCCTTAGCTTTGTTTATTCTTTCTCAAGTCAATCTTGTGTTTAAATGTGGCAAAATATAGAGAGTTCGTTAAGATATACTTGTAGAAAAGTAGTTAGTTTATTGTTTTCTTTGTAATTTAAATGTTTTGTCTTTTTTTCCAATATAAAAATGTAACAACAATTGGAAACGTCAATCCACGCACTATGGAACATTATGGTTCAAAATTAGCATCAAAGCCGAGTAGCGTCCAATTAGAAGGAAATTACGTCGGCAGTCAACATATAATAATGGTAACTCTATATTTAATATTGGTAATAAAGTTAGGCACAATTATGCTAATTTATTTATTAGTACTAACGTTGTCATCCATTTATATAAGCTCATGCCGCATATGGATGAGTTAGTTGTTTTTGTTTTCTTATCTTCCTATGATGATTTATTAAATCAACTAACCAATCTCCAATTTTTATCATTTTTTATATACAATAAATTACAGATATCTCGTTCCATCTTTGCTACTCATCAATCACATAGTTAAGTTTTTAACTTAGCTTAGTGTCACAACTCAAGCCCTACACCCACAATGGCAGCAAGCAATGTCACTTGGGCACTAGGCAACAAATCGGGCCAAGGGAGTTGCCCATGGGTGCTAGGAAGCACCACTCCCCTAAAGAGCTTTAAATAGCAACCTGCTTATAAACCTAGTGAACACTCAAGTAACAGTAACACAATAATGGGTCATTTGGGAGACCAAATGGAATCCAAATGAATCCAAACTTGGTGGTCCACCGTTTTTGGACCCAATGAACACAATGGTGCAACCAGAATTTCGAGGAAAGGTCCGGAAACTTCCAGAATGTGCTACAAGGCTCGGGATGCGTCCGGAAGCTTCTAGAAGTATCTAGGTTGCTCTTGTACATACTTGTAACCTCTAGAGTAATGTAGAATACTCCGGGAACTTGTACATATGAGTAGGGACTCAGAAATGTATAGAAGTCTCTAGAAAAAGTAAGCTTCTAGGACCCTCCATTTAAGGAGGTTAGAAAGCTCTAGAATAGAACATTCTAGCTACTTGGGAGGACTATAAATAGGGTCCTTCCCCTCATTTTGTAGACCATCCAAGCATTTGTAAAACACTCTTTCTCAAGCAATATAAAGTTCACTCAGTCATTTTCTCACTTGTGCTCTATTTACTCACTTACTTTAGCTTTCGTTGCCATAGTTGCTTTAAGCAATACTCGGGGTAAGCCTTGACTAGCAACCTTAGGGAAGGAAGTTAGTGGGCGCGCGTGCAAAAGACTAAGGGGATCAGTTGGCACGTGACATTAGGCTCTGTTTTTTGGATTCAATTTATCTAAATTAAATTTTAAGTATTGAACAAACTAATCTGAAAATTCTAGAAATTAAGTTCGAAAAAAAAAAGCAAACCTGAGTTATATAGTTTAGATTTTCTCCTCTTAATTAATGAACTTATTATTCAATAATTGTATCTATTCATCAAGTAAAGTCCAGGGCCTGTTTTTTTTAACTTAATTTCCGTTTAGTTTAATTCAGCTCAGCTTCTAATTTCTTTTTCTCAAAAACAATTTATTTCAATTCAGTTTAGCTTCAATCAGCTCAGTTCAGTTCAGTAAATCAAAACAGACTCATAAAGTTTTAATGACAACACAATTACGATTAGATTTCATACATCTTTTTATCTTATTAAATAGTGCATCATGATCTATTTGGTTACACATTTTCATCATTTTGAAAATATTAGTAGAGAAAAAGTAGGCACAAATGTCTTTCTCTTTTGAAGACAAAAGTTCTTGACCTCACACGTAGCACAACATGAATTATAATGTAGGGGATGAAATCATGAAACAAAATGTGGGTTGACAATTTCCTATCACAAAAGGAAAAAACCTAACTCACCCCCAATCTATAATTGGCTACCTACCATATTTTGTGGATGTATATGCCATGGTTGGTTAAACAGTTTTAAATTAAAATTTTCAACTTTCTATATTTCCACTTTTAGGGGTGTACTTTTCCTTTTAGTCAAATTCTTTTTTGTTTTGGGAATAAAAAAGGCATAAATATTTGATTAGTCATAATGTTTATTCACTTTGTATTTATAAGGCGACATGTAAGTATTTGTCTTGATTGAAAACTTCAAGTATAACAAACACATTAACAAGTGAAACACTAAAGTAGGATGGGATAAATTTCCCTAATCAATAAAATGAGTTCTTGTTGGGATTTGTTAGGATATTATTCGATTGTTATGCTATATTTATATCATTATTAGGGTTTGTTTCTTTTAAATTACTTTTAGTTCAGTTCAGTTCAGATTCAATTTAAACAGTTTAGTTTCTAATTTTCTTCTTTTATAAACAATTTATTTCAGCTCTATTCAATTCAGTTTAGTTCAATTTAGCTCCAACTAGTTCAGTTCAGTTGTTTTCAGTAAATTAGAACAAGCCCTTAGTTACCTTAAATATAGGATATGATATGGTAAATACAGAATATATCATATGTAATGTGTTGGTGCCATGGTGATTTATATACTAGAGATTCTACAAGAGGGAAATATGTATGCTATATATATGTTGAATGAATGCATTGATGGTCAAGCTTTAAGCCCTTACCTAAATATTTACATGGTATCAGAGGCCAAACATATTGAGTACATCTATATTTTGACTAGTATTAAACGATATATATGTGATTCACTTTTTTAATATTATGATCATTCTAAGTTTTCCAACCAGAGTATTGGTACTCCGTAGTTGTCGATAAAAGATCAAATTTTTCTTGTTATTTAACGCATATAAAATTGCTCAATAAATCTAAGATTTTTCAAATACTACTTGATAATTTAACACATACGAAAGTACAAATTCTCTATAATATTTACTTTTCTAGTAGAGCTTTTGAATTTTATTTTTCTACAATCAATCAATGATCAGTGCTTTCAAATACTGGTGATAGATGGAAAGATATTACTCCAAAAGATATTTATAGGAATATAAAGTAAAAGATATTTTGAAATATTAGAGTTTTTTTTATTGCTTGTTGTTTATCTTAAAACTTTCTTTCAATAGTAACGTGGACGTAACTAAAAAAAGCATGGGATTGTTGGTGTGAAGTGTGATATACTATTAATCGTATGAGCTTACGTACATAAATAGAAAGTGGCAATAATAACTAACAGAAACGTTAAAGGTGAACTAACGAGAGACGGGCACGCATTACTTAAACTAGTCCCCACTATATATTTTGTGTTTGTATCATTAGTGTTTAATCAGAGCTTATTATTTACTAATCTACATCAATGTTCTCCTCTATGATTTACATAATGTATAATGATGTATGATGCATGGATCCTAATGGTGTATTTTAGTACGAGTATAAAATTATTGCAACCAATGTTACTCTAATCTCATAACATATACTTCGTATAATCTTAGAGTCTTAGACACATGTGCATTCTATATTTTTTTCAAGATAAGAAAAAAAAAAATATTAATAGACCTCTTACAAAAATAAAAGAAAATAAAAATAAAAACCTACACATTTAATAATAATTTAAGTTTATTTCATTTGATAAATATTAGCCTTCAAAACTTTTTTTTAAACAATACCCGAACGCATTTAATTAATAAATGCAAAGAAGACAAGACAATCACATTAATGACCAATAAGGTTTATTATTATTATTATTATTATTATTATTAATATTTTTTTTTTGTGTAACGCTTTAATTAAATGTTTTACCTAATCTTGTTTTTATTAATAAATTACCTAATTTAACAAATCATCTAGTAGTAGAGGGAATGGAAAATAAAAATAAAAATTTGAAGAAAATTGAGAAATGGAGAAGATAGTGGACTAGTGGAGTAATGTTCCGTCAACAAATAATGATTATTCTTATCAATTATAGGTTTTCATAAGATCCCTTTTTCAAATAACAAACTTTTCAAGTCACTTTACACAATAAAGGATTTAGTACTATTATTGGTGAAGACGGAACTTCACGAAATTGGTTTAACTTTGTGTATTATACCCTTCAACTGAACACCATTCGTGTAGTCGGTCTATGGGCTAGCCCAGGTGATTTGTGAACCTAATATGGTTAGGTCATACTTCTCATGCTTTCCCAAGGGCCTATTTAGTGTCCGAACCATCTAATTCATTCATTGGCCTATGATTTGCATCCCTCGTAACCATGTCTCAAATCGCCTTATATGCATGCTATGTCTTGCGTCTTGCCCATACAATTATAGACTCAGGTGCATACCTTGCGTCCCCGATCATGTATTAAGTCGTTGAGCATGGCGTATGTTCACAATGAAAGTTAATCACAACTTCACAAAAAAAAGCTTCTTAAGCACCTTGTTTATTCAAAATATAATGAACAAATATTTACTATCACTAGAATCGACATTTTTTCCCCCATTACAGGATTAATTTTACATTCAATCAGCACTGTTTCATGTCCAAATTTCGTCTCCCATTTGGCAGGACACAGCATGATACACAGCGAAAAAATCTACATCTATACACAGAATGCAGCCATCCTAGATTAACATTTACTTCCTCGCTCACAAGGAAATCTCTTTTTTTTTTTTTTTTTTTGATTCTATCTAAATTTCTAATGATAACAAAACAGGCTCGATCTAGTATCATATTGATCAATCACAATCCCTTGGATGACTTGATCCTACGATTTATTTCTTTCTCCAACTCCTCGAGGCCTCCCACCTCCTCAAGCTCCTACACCACATAACACGAAAGGTAAGAAATTGCACCATATAACCATAAAACTCTCCATTGTTATAAATCAGTTCACTTTGATAGTATATTTTCAATTTGCCATTAGTCGATTACACCAAAACAGAGGGAGTACAGACATAGTATTTTATTTTTTTAACAAAAAAATTTCAACATAAAACAAAACAAGTTTGGAAACAATAGGTCCTACCTTAGGTCCCAAGAACAGCCCATATGGAACTCCATTGAATTTATCTGAGTGGTGTAGCTGACATACCAGACATCAAAATCAAAGAAGATACCGACCGTTAGATTCAGTTACAAAATAAAATCATAATAATGTAGCTATAGTACAGTTTTTCTTATAAAAAAAACTTACATAATACACCTTACACATGTTAATCTTTCTATAATTAGCAAGTAATGGCATAAGCTATATAAACATAGTAAGAACTTTTTGAGATGCATTGAATGTTTGAATCCTTAAAGATAAATATGAAATAACATGAGGATCATGCCACTAATCTTGTCCCCCATACGTTCATGATAAGGAAGGTGGGTTTCTTTTCCTTTTTAAATAAAGAAATCAACTATAAATCCGTTCCTCGCAATGAGTTAATGACTATCTACTCAAATTGAGAATACTTGATTGTTTCTTTAGTTAAGTAATATATAAAAGTAAAACTAGAATTTTTTTTCATTGTAAAGGACTTATTAGATCCAACATAAAGCGTTCAAACTAAATCAACTGACTTGGTATAGTGTGTTGAAATTACTAAAACAACTATATTTTGGATAAAGTATATAAAGATGTTTATAGTGAAACAAAATTGAGACTATTTAAAACAATCATACACTGAAATGAATGTATTAGTAGTACTGCATATAATTTAACCTTAATTTGTTGTTAGCAAAAAGTGTGTTTTAAAGCAGAGTTCCAATAATCATGTCAAACTAAAGTCTACTAAAGTTGAAATAACAAGGTCCTTTATATCCTTTAATCCTTTATCCTTATCTGAAAGAAAAGGTGAAGTCCAAGCTGAGCTAACCTTATGGGCAGAGGCTACCCTTCTGAAATAAGGAACATCGGCAATAGGACCAACTGGGAATCGCTTGTGAACAAGGCCATCATGCACAAACATGTAGGCTATCCCAAAAACTGTAATTCCAAGTCCCTGTAAAGTATTATATGGTTATTATCATTCTGTATATGATATTAATATCATACCCTAACAAATAATATGAAAATTAATAAATCATCACGGCTGACTAAAATGATCTACTTCGTGAATCATTTGATAAGTTGTCCACTAGATAACCAATGTACAACAGTCACAAATCCAATTTGGGAACACTTCTTTTTCGATACATAAAATATCGATGCATTAAGAGTTACTCATAAATATATTGGATCATATTATGCCAGTAATCTCCAAATTAGGTTACTGATAGTCATAACAACATATAATTCATCACGCACTACAATCTAGCAGGGCAATTAAGGAAACTTACCGCTCCAAAACAGAGACCAGGTATAAGGCCTTTGTGGAAGAAACCATAAGAAAGAAGGCCAATAGCTGGGACTGCATTAATAATGGCAAACACATCATTTAGCTCAAAAGGTCCTTCTCTCGGCCTATGATGCGACTGCAACCACAAAACACAGCACATACGGTCAATTTGTATGGCAGATGTGACTGCAACCCAAATCACACAATATATAGTACAACACATACGGTCATTTGAATGGCAAATGTAACTGCAACCACATAATAAGAAAGATGGACATAGCACACATGGAGTATGCCCCATAGTCAGCGAAATAATTGAGCATCTTATAAAACATAAACTTCACGTTTCTACAAATAGGACAAGAGGCTTAAAAATCAAAATATGTTTGAAAATTCATAATATATTTCTATATCAACCTCAATTCCAATTCTTGAAGGAAAACAAATTACAATATGAAACAAAAGTTAATTAATCCAGCCCCAAAATAACTTAACTAACTTACTACTTTGCTAGATGCTTCTTATACAGAATTAGAGTCCAATTTTTGAAAATAAATAAACGAGCTTAGGACTCAAATGAAGCCATAGCATCATACAACTCATGGCTATAACACCTACAAAAGTACCAAAAACATATCTAAGAATCAAAGCTTGAAAATCCAAGAAGATTTCGTTGGCTATGGCCCTTAAGTTCTAAAAAAAACAAAGGTTTAAGTTCTAATAATGGTTAATAAGGGTTAACAAAGTTCAATACAATTAAAATAAGTTTTCATAGAGTTAAAAAAGTTCTGATGAAAAATTTCAGGGAAAATCAAGTAAATGAAACACGCCCTAAGTTTTCAACAAAGTAAAATTAATCAAAGTTAACCCCAAAAAAATTCCACATTTCAACAAACAAAGTCTAAAGATAATTTAGAACTTCAAAAATAAAATCGATAATTTTTAAAACATAGAATGAGAATACGAGATCAACCTCGTGCATGTGCCACAAAGAAGCATGCCATAGAGCTCTATGTGCCCATCTTGCCCAGAACTCCATTCCCACCTGAAAAAAGGGTAAATAAAAAAATTAAAATCAACTCCACAGAAATCAGCATTTAGCAAAATTAAAATAACACCACTCATCATTAAGTACATTAGCAATTATTCAATTTATCACTTTAACTGTTTTTCGACGTAAATCCTCTCGGAACATTTGTTTAGAGGGATGAAGAGCGTAAATTAGATCATGGACACAAGTGCACGATGACTAAAGAACATTTCCCTTGTTTATTTACAGGGAAATTGGGATAAGGTTGTACAGTAATCACCCTTACAAACACCATTAAGGTACATTAGAAATAATCCGATAACATCAAATGACGTGTGATTTTGTCGTGTATTTCCATTTCCTAATCAGAAATAAACAATTATTCTTTTTACAACATACTATCATATGCTAGGCCGGTGGAAAATGAAGGGTTATAATACTACAAGTTGATTAGTCCGTATTAAACAAACATTTTCCACCAATAATCTAACAATAATTAAAATTTTTAATAATTGATTAAAATATGAGTAATTGTGTCGTAATTATAGTATAGTAATGGAAAAAACTTACAGCAGCGCCAACCGAGAGTGCAAACGTACCCAGCATCTCTGTAACTGGCACTTCTCCTCCCTAATTTAAAAAAATAAATTAAAACAAATTCCAGCATTATTCGCTAAAAAAAAAAAACGACCCGAACCAAACCGAATTGAGTCAGGGGTTACATATAAGAAGCTAAAAGTCCTAAAATTAAAACTAGGAGGTATAAAATTGTACCTCCATTTGCCAGTAAAAGCGGTAATAAACAGCCATGACAGCCATAGAAGTAATACCCAAGCTAGACATAACAGCAGCAATCAAATAAGTGAACCGCTCAGATTTCTTCCTAGCTAATTTCTCCGATAATCGTGCGGCTAAGATTTGACTGTCATCATTCTCGATACTCACCCGTGTAACATTAACAATCTCATCATCATTACCGCTTGTACTGGTACTCTCCGTTTCGAAACCCCTCAATCCACGCTGTTCCTCAAGAACGAAGCAGATAGTGAGGCTTTTCTCTCTCCTATTTGACCGGTAAACCGGGAATCGCCGGTAAGGCGGGCGGTAGAAGAAGGAGATTGGGGCGAGGAAGGAAGTGGGCTTAGGCCCAGGCCCAGGCCCGTAAAGAGGAGGAAGGGTCTGGGAACTCCCGACGGTGGAGAGCCCAATGGCCATTGAAAGTGGGCCGAAAAGTGGTATAGTTCGAGAGAATTGGAGAAAGTGAGAGAGAGGAAGTGGGAGAAGAATGAATGGTGTAATTAAATGGAGAAAGGAGAGGAGAGGAGAGAGAAAGTGAGAAAATGTTAAGTGCATGAAGACCACATGTTTTAAGGTTGGTTTTTAGAAATTACAAATTGGTGTAAATTTATAAACTCGGTTTTTGTAGAATACAGTCTTTTTATAGTCACGTACTTGTCATCTTCACCGCCCTTTTCTACCCTCCATTTCATAACGGTTTACAATCCAATTACTTTTTTTGAATTTTTTATTTTGTACTTTGGTTACTCAGTGGAACGGTGGAAATTTTACTGCTAGTATGAGTCAAATTTATTCAGTTTAGATTAGTTTCAATCGGTTCAGTTTAGCTTCAATTGATCTAGTTTAGTTTACTCGAATTTAGCTCGTATTGGCCATTTGTATAATCTTTAGGATATGCTATTCACATTTCTTCTCCCCAATGAACCAATTTTTGAATAATATATTTTATAAAGAAAAATATCGGTAAAATTAAAATGAACAATATCTTTAATGATTCGGTCCAATGGTTACACGATAAAAACCAATTGATTGTTGATGTAGTGGTGATTGATTGGGGTTGCACTTGGTAGAGAGAATTGTGTGTTAGATCTCCGCAATAATAATTGAGAGGAAATTGGAATCTAACCACCCAAAACTAAATCTCAAATCCGAATTAGCCTAAAGGATGAATCGGGTGAAACACCCTAAAAAAATATTTAAAAAAAAAAGGCAACAAGACAATTTTATATAGTACTATAATGATAGTAAATAAATGGTCACGATTTAACCAAAATATATGATTGATATCACAATCATAGTTAGTACAATGAAGACATATGCCAATATAATCATATGAGAAATGTGATACTACCACAATTATTTTCTTTACCTACATCCTCCGTTTGTAATTAAGATGCATTAGTGCATCACTCATATTAGTTATATAATTGTGGACTTTTAGGCAATTTTTGAAGTAGAGAGCAAAAGAGAGGAAAAAAAAAAGAGGGTTCATGATATTGTACTGTATATATAGAGAAAATCTATTAATATAAGAGAAAGTGATGCATCTAAATTAAAATTTCGATGCATCTAATAAAACACAGACAAAGTATTTGGTTGAGGCAGTTGAGTGCACAATATTCTAAATTACACCAAATACCAAAAATATATGAAAATTTCAAATTAACGAAGAAATATAGCATAAATGTAACTGAATGTTAGCATGAACATACATTTGAATGCATTCTTAAAACTTAAAACTCCTTCAATTTTAGTGCTAGACAAACCTAATTTCAGAAATTACCTTCATCATACTAGATTATCCCTTACTCTTAAAGGAATATTAATAGAATGAAACCAAATCAAATGTACGTAGTAGATCAAATGTGTACAAGCCACAAGCTAATTAAACAAAACCTCAACACTAGTTGATGCTCTATTTATGCAAGTTGACACTTAAACTCTTGAAACAACAAACAAACTACAAACCCCTTACGTAAGGAAAGGAAAATTTATGGCAAAATAGGAGTTGGGCGAGAGAAAACAAAGGGCTGACCACAAGTTGGCACATTATAGCATTGTGTAGTAACACAAATGGACAACAAACGAATCACACACTTAAAGACGGTACACTTTTTGCTGGAAAAACGTTGTGTTTTTGTGGGTGTTGGCAATTTCTTGGCCCGTCTTTTGTTTCACCCTTAAATATCAAAATGTGGCTTAGCTTTTAAAGCCATCATCTGCATTAATATAAGGAAAATGATTTACAAAGTATTAAGTTATAAAGGCTTTATTCTATTAAAAAAATCAAAAATCAAATAAACAAATCAAAATATACTTCAATATATTTGAGAAATCAGTGATCAATTTTATAAGTTGCGTGAATTGATAAATGAAAGAGTTATAAAAGTCGACATTACAAGGAAATAAAGAAAAGGTAATAATAATTCATAGATCAATTTATATAAAACTTTATATATTTATATTTGGGTGTACATAAAGGTAGGTGCGTGATTGTGCACCATATCTTATGTTATGATTTAACAAAATGTTAAATATTTAGTTAAAAGAGAGTTCATTTCACAAATCCAAAGGATGCTCCATCCTAAAATCATTTGGCGATAGAAGGAGTAGCCTTAAAAGTGTTTTAACTTTTTCTTATATTCTCAATGTGGAACACTTACCTGTGTTATTTGGTAGAATATAATGCAACACTTGATGATCGTTTATTTTAGTTAGGTTAAATAGAATAATATCTAAGACTGAAATCAAATATCGTCTACGACATTATTTGTCTTCTTGACGCTCTTTACACCAACCAAAAAAAAAAATTGGTTTGAGTATAAGGAAACGAAAGAGAAGATGAAACTGCCACGTTGGGCAATTATGGGATGTTATTATAGTTGAGAGTTTGCGACATGAGTCAAATTTGAGTGGAAGGTGAGACCAGAAAATTCAGTTCACATTTTTTGGTTACAAGGATTCGATGTTAGGACCTCCACCAATAATAACAATATAACATGCACCTTCAACTTCTTTTCCACCTCCACCACTCTCTATAGTCCTATACGCCTTGTTTGTATAAAACGGTTTCTACGACCCCTACACCTCCACGTGTCCATTCTACACTACACTAAAGTAATGCCTATCCCATTGTCACTACCCATTGGCCCTCTCGGCCACCCCCACCATTTTATTTGCTCACATGAAATTCTAATCAATACCCGATTTGATTAAACTTTGACCATATTTATATTTTACGAGTACGCTGTATTTTGTAACAAGTAGTAAGAAAAAATTATTATTAAGGGTTTGTACTAATTTATTAAATTGAACCAATCTGAAATAAATTATTTATGAGAGAAGGAAAGTAAAAACTGAACTTAATAAAATTTTGTCGAATTATCTTTGTTTCTGGAAACAGAATACTCCTCGGGGCTAAGGTAATCAAAATGTCCTAGAAGTATGTCCAAAGTATGTCCGAATTTCCCTCCGCTATGCCTTGCTGTCCGAGAGCTAGGCCTGCAAAAGAGAAAGAAGGTTAACTGCCCCGGGGGTGTGACCCGGAAAAGCCCCTCCGATGCTTAAGTCAATGAATACACTTTCTAGAGATAAAAAGTAGAGAGAGAAAGAGTTCTTTAGAGAGAGAAAGTAGAGAGAGAAGGTTAGAGAATTAGGAAAAAGTTACCATCATTAATGATTAATGATTGGAGAGCTATTTATAGATGTACTTTCAGGTGGCAGAAGTTGTACTTGTTTGGACAGATTAGGGGTAAATCCGTACTTTACTCTGATTAATGATGAGCTGGATCATGGAGGGGTATTTTCGTAATTTCAAGTCAATGGGCTTAGGACAATGGACTTGGCCCAAACATTCTTATTTTGATGTTTAATGTATCGTTAAGTTTTAAGTATTTGATATGAGATAATAAGCAAAGGTTAATAAAATATTGGGTATGATGGTGATTAATGGGCAAATAAGAGGCCAATACATTGAACCACCTATAAGGAATTAAGGATCAACATAATAATAATCATTTTAATTAATTAATAGTTTTTTTAAACCTAATTGGATGTTCCCCAAAGTCGCGCACAGGAGTTTGATGTGTAAGTTTCGATGGCAAAGGTTTTATTTTAATATATATAATAAGGTTACAGATAGCTATTGGCTACTAGAAATTGGATTAAAATTAAGATTTGGGGTGACAAAAGGATGAATTGATTTTGCAATAAACATTACCTAATTCTCTCGGAATTTCGACCTACTATAATTATGTCAAAATTGTCAAATGTCAACACTACTTTTTAACTTTAAATGAGAATTAAAGTGTATATTTTGTTGGTGAAAAAAATTTGGGGTAACGATAACAAATTTGTATGTAATTCCATTAATAAAGGCTAGTGTCAATGTCCTTGATAACGATGCTATATCTTCAAATGTCATACCTAATCTTGTGTATTTCATTTTAGATTTCCAAAGATTTAAATAATTAGGAATTTCCAATTTGATATACCAAATACGTACTGTAGTATTGGTCATCTTTAACCCTATTCACATACACTTTGATTGTGTTGGTCATCTACAAAACATATCAAACAAATTGGTGCAAATTAGTAAGGAAACAATGAATACCGGAGTATAAATTAGTTTTCTGAATAATTATTAGATGGTACCTAGAACTAGCAAGCAAAAAATTATTTTAATTATTTAAAAATAATTAATATTATCAATAATTTTTTTACATAATTAAATCAACATACATATGGCATATAATATGGAATATTACGTTAATAAAACTAATACTTTCACCAAAAAATAAAAATAATACGAAGTACTTTTCTCTCCTAAGTCCTACCGTAAAAATACATACAAGTAGTCTAATAAAATAAGAGTAGCCACCTCAAGTGTATGTACGTTTTTTTTTTGGTTCCATCCGGTTCACCCTTTGGGCTAATTCGGATTCAAGAATCAGTTCTGAATACTTAAGTTTCATTGCTCTCTCAATTATTGTTCTGAGGGATCGAACGCATAATCTTCTCTACCAAGTGCAGTCCCACTCACCACTACACTAATAGTCAATTGGTTGTACGATTCATTTTACGTACAGACATACAGTACATAGTTACGTATAAGATATACTCTTAGCTTACATTCGAATTGGTAAAATTTAATAATGCTCCTTTGTACCCCTACCATAGTACCATAGTATCCTTTTAGATTGGCATGCATGGTCTGTGCAGGCGGATGCACGATCCACATGGTGCATCTTTTCCAAAAAAAAAGAGGAAAAAACATTGCATAGAAATATAAAGAACATTTAGTTTAAGTGAAAAGAACATATTATAGAATTGTAAAGAACATTGTATAGAAATGTAAAGAACATTCAGTTAAAGTGCAAAGAACTTGTTATAAAATTGTAATGAACATAATGTGCAGTTAAATAATGTTCTTTATTATCTTCATGTTCTTTGATTGTAGAATAATGTACTTTTATTTGTGACATATGTTAATTGTTTATTTTGAAATATTCTTTGAAATTTGTCTTTAGATTATGGTGGTTGAATAAAAATAATGTTTATTACAATTATCATTAGAGATGATAAAAAATTCGGGTCTG